ACAGCCCGACTGGATGCTCTCAATTGTGCATCTGTAAAAGTTTGTGAGGGTTTTAGGTGACAGGCCAAATTTCTTCAGCCTCCTGAGGTTGAAGAGACGCTGTTGCGCCTTCTTCACCACACTATCTATGTGGGTGGACCATTTCAGTTTGTCAGTGATATTTACGCCGAGGAACTTTCCACCTTCTCTACTGCTGTTTCCTGAAGTGCACGATCATCTCCTTTGTTATGTTGACGTTGAGTGAGAGGTTATTTTCCTGACACCACACTCCGAGAGCCCTCAGCTCCTTCCAGTAGGCTGTCTCACCGTTGTTGGTAATCAAGCCTACTACTGTTGTGTCGTCTGCAAACTTGATGATTGAGTTGGAGGTGTGCATGGCTATGCAGTCATGGGTGAACAGGGAGTACAGGAGGGGGCTGAGCACACACCCTTGTGGGGCCCCAGTGTTGAGGATCAGCGAAGTGGAAATGTTGTTTCCTACCGTCACCACCTGGGGGCGGCCCGTCAGGAAGTCCAGGACCCAATTGCACAGGGCGGGGTTGAGACCCAGGGCCTCAAGCTTAATGATGAGCTTGGAGGGTACTATGGTGTTGAATGCTGAGCTATAGTCAATGAACAGCATTCTTACATAGGTATTCCTCTTGTTCAGATGGGATAGGGCAGTGTGATGGCGATTGCATCGTCTGTGGACCTATTGGGGCGGTAAGCAAATTGAAGTGGGTCTAGGGTGACAGGTAAGGTCACCCTAGACCCACTTAATTAGGCTCATACGTCTCTTACTTTGGCTGGCTGTCCAGTGGCTTACCAGGTTCACCACATAACCACAGCACCGCTACTACTTTACACTTTCCTCTTGAATCTGTCTGCAAGAAATGTGTCCTGGGATCTCTAATGGAGGGAGTGACCAGATTAGCTGCACCTGGGCTGTTTCAAGGGGCTTGATCTTGCTTGTAAATTATTTGTGCATTACAGAGAATAATGTATGTGGAAGGAGCATGCCACAACATGGAGATCATGGGAGTAGTATCCTTCAACTGGCAGCAATGTTCGCATTAAGCTACGAGCGCATGTACGGGCGTGCAGCTCCCCGGGACTGCCATGCAGAAGACATATCAGCGTGCAGAGAAGCACAAGATTGAATTTAACTAAACTTTTTAGAGTTTTCCCCCTTAGTTAACTGTTTCCCTTTACTGTGGCAATTGTGATCAAAACAACACGATTTTAGCCACTTTCAATGCAACATACCGAAACAAAACGAACTATGCAAGATATTTTGTTGTAGGAGTAGGATTCTATTGCATTGACATGCACAACTCAGGCCCCTACTCTACACAGACCAGTGTGCCATAACCAATCAGAGCTGCAGTAGGCCTATATGCAAATAGACCATTGCCATATATGGATCTGTGCCATTCACTTTGAACTGGACTGTTTTTACAGCATGAGTGGTTGTGAGCAGATGCCCTTGTTTTGAGATCAAAGCGAGAGCTGCATGTAGCCACGTGTATGTTTGTTCATATCCTTTGCTAGTTACTGAGTTATTAGCCCAGTTATAGATCATTTGTAGTCAGCAATGGGGGAGGGATTGCTTCCTACAAGAGCACAAAACGTGTGCATTTCTAGACATCTTTGAAAAGTGATTCATGTAAAAAGCTTTTTTTTGTCTTAAAGGGGCAGTGTTGTATTTTGAGACAGGCTTGTATAAGCCAAGTAGCCAATAGGCGAAGGGTAGCATAATTTGTCTGATTCTCTGTAATAATGGTATGGGAATAATGATGCATTTTATTTTGTAAAGTGGTTTCTTGCATCAAACAACACAACAACATTATCAGTCACCTCCTTGTCTAAAGGACAAGTGGATGCACAGGTTAATATGAAGCCCTGCATATTATTTTCAAAAGTTTTTACATTTACATTTTTACAAAAGTCTCATGGAATGCTGGAATGTCTCATGGAATGCTGTAGGCTGAATGATAAAACAGCTATTTTCATGTTAAAATGTTATGGGATGCATTTTCTCCATTGTATTTGATGGTAGGCCACTCTGGTAAGCCTACATTATGATAAAATAGACACAGTAGCCTACTTGACTACTGTTAAAACTAACTTAAAGCGGGTACAGCCTCATTGTTCACAGTAAACGCACGCCGGAAGTTGCACAGAATTTTCACAACATTCAAGTTTGCATTCTGCAGACCTGAAACTTGCTCAGTGATGAAAACAATTAAGAGGGAACATTGACTGGCAGTCCTAGAATCTGATGGTCCATTTGCTCCTTTGATCCAGGTAGTATTCCCTGTAGGATAGGGAGATCCTTTCACCTTCCACTGTGTGTGTGTGTGTGTGTGTGTGTGTGTTTGTGTGTTTTCACCAGAATGTGTGTGGCTATGACATTAATCTGAGGGTCAGAAGTGTGTGATCATGTGTGTGTTACAACTGCACCATGACGTCAGTGTGTACTGTACCTATATAGGAAACCAGTCAAGCGACAAGTGGGAGTGGAGGGATAAGTGAGATAGTAGCCTTATCCCAATAAGTCAACACTGGGTAAGGTGAGCGTTTCAACACACTGTTTTTGATACAGGCTATTATCTGTTCTGACTCATTAAACATTACACTTAACCAGTTTTCTTGAAATTACCCAGAAAATCCCATACATATCCATTGCTGTATTTCTAAATTTAAACCTAGCAATCAGACATCCAGGACAGTCATCTTGCAGGTAGATTGACTCAGACAGGCAGAGACCGGGGAGAATGACACAGTTAACCACAGACAGACACATTTTGCCATTGTAAAGCAACGTGCTTATGGTCACGCTTACTCCCCTTGGCATGTGGACACTGGACACTGGAATTGTATCACACAGCCATGTGGAAATACTCTGTCAATGAGCCTCCCTGGGAGCTCCTTAGCGTTGAGTCACAAGCAGCGTGGTCTTTCTCAACACTCAAAGAATTAACCCACACATTCTAACTTGTCATCCCACACAAGGTGAGCCACTGCCACGCAATAGAACCACCTTGATCAGCCTTGCCTTGAATATAAAGGAGCAACACGTTATTAATACTGTACATACAACACTTCAATTCAAACTATATCAGAACTGTTCCAGTCTGCCTTTATTGCACGTGTCAAACTCATTCCACGGAGGGCCAAGTTTCTGCGGGTTTTTGCTCCTCCATTGTACTTGATTGATGAATTAAGGTCACTGATTAGTAAGGAACTCCCCTCACCTGGTTGTCTAGTTCTTAATTGAAAAGAAAAAACTAAACCCGCAGAAACTTGGCCCTCCATGGAATGAGTTTGATACCCCTGCTTTATGGGCTCTGGTTTTTCCAGTTTTGATTAAGGAAGGGAAACGAAGGGCTGATTGTTGATGAGATGATCCCATTGGTCCTCTCAAAAGCTACACGGGCATGTTATCTGTTAATTTCACTGGGGCCCCGCCCAGCTCGGGACCAGCCTCCATAGGCAGACTGAGGCAGCAGGGATTTAGGCCACACTGTACCCAAGCTAGCTTACCTCACCTGGCAGGTAGGTGGGGTCGATACAGCCTGGGAAGAGGCAGGCTAGACAACATTTCTAAATTCCCTCTCTGCCTTTTTCTATATTTGAGGCTCAATATTTGAGTTGCCTGTCCCGCTAGGGTGTATCCTATTGGCTTTGTGACAGTCACAGCCTCAGTGTTGGGTGTGGAGAGTCCACAGTAAATCTTTAGAGGTTACTCCGCATTCCCTGACTTTGACCCAAGTGAGGTATGCTGTTTGTGGAACAGTATCCACCAATAACCCAGTATGTGACGTGCCCAGTGGATAATACTTTGAGGTCTGAGAGTCACTTGGCCACTGTCTGAAACACTATCATTATCCTGTGACATCACCTGAGGTTGCTGAAGCACTCTCTGTGTAGCACATTACCTCAGCAGAGGTCATCAGAAGTAGGTTTCTGTCCCTCTACTTATATTGTCAGACTATTGTCCTAGATAGTGCACTATATCTATCAATCAAGTGTGAATATGAGTTGTACTTGTGTGAAACAGGTTTCTCTCACTCGTTCTCACGCAAACACAATATCTCTCGCTCTCTCTCTCACTCTCAGGCTTTGTCTCCTGAGTGGCGCAGTGGTCTAAGGCGCCGCATCGCAGTGCTAACTGTGCCACTAGAGATCCTGGTTCGAATCCAGGCTCTGTCGCAGCCGGCCGCGACCGGGAGACTCATGGGTGGCGCACAATTGGCCCAGCGTCGTCCAGGGTAGGGGAGGGAATGGCCGGCAGGAATGTAGCTCAGTTGATAGTTGATATAGCATGGCGTTTGCAACGCCAGGGTTGTGGGTTCGATTCCCACGGGGGGCCAGTATAAAAAATATATATATATGTATTCACTAACTGTAAATCGCTCTGGATAAGAGCGTCTGCTAAATGACTAAAATGTAAATGTAAATATAATGACTTGCACTTGTTACCTCCTCCTCTCCCTCCCAACCAACTACATTCCTTCATCCTGACTATCCTCCCGGAGAGAGAGCTTTGGAGGGGGAATGGAGAGAGTGGGTGGGGATCAGGCAGAAAAACTACACCCACCACGTCTGTGTGTGGAGATACAACAGCAACAACGTGGTCGCTCTGGCTACTACTGAGTCTCCATGGCAACGGATTTGAACTCATGACAATATTTTGGGAGTTCCCCAAACATCTGTGGGTGAGTCAGTGTGCTTCCTCTGAGTACTCATGGATATAATGGCCAAAATAGACAGTGACAAAGACATAGCTAGAACATGAAAAACAAATACTCCACCACAGAGTTGTTGAAATAGTGGCTTTTGGGTAATTGCATGTATGTGAGACAGAGACAGAGCGAGAAAGAGAGAGAGCAAGGGAGGGAGAGAGATAGATAGATAGACAAAAGGAGAGTGAGATAGATTTGTGTGGGGTGTGGACTCGGGGAAAAGAGGGAGGGGTAAGAAGTGGGTGGAGGTGTAGTTGTGAGTGTTTGTGCGTTCCTTAGCGGGGAGGGGTAAGAAGTGGGTGGAGGTGTAGTTGTGAGTGTTTGTGCGTTCCTTAGCGGGGAGGGCTGAGTCTGACATTTGGAACGTAGAGAGCAGAAGGAATTGGGCTTCAACAGAAAGGCTACCATCAAAAAGTAAGTTGAACATTTTTGTTCTCTTACAGAACTCTCAACTCTTTGACATGCTCTTCATGTGTTTTTTGAAATGATAATAGCCTATATGCATGCCTTCTATTGTATTACTCTCAAGGCTAATACAATTGCACACAGTCAGTAGGGGCGTGAATATTTTAGAATTGTAGCTAGCACGTCTTTTGTAATGCAAGTGATACTGGTAGTTTATTCCTTTGCCAGGTAAGTTCAGTGTGGGTGTGTTCAGGTAATTAATCAGATAGCTGGTTCTGAAACAAACATTACAAGGTGAAAATCCAAATGCACTGAAATTCTGAAACTTTAAGTATACATTTAGTTAAAGTTTATAATGCACACGCTTTAGCCCATGAAACCTATCCTGTAATTTCTGGTAGGTAGCTGAGTGCGTGATGGAACTATGCTCCATCCTAGAAGGCAGGGAGTTTGTCATGCATTCAGTGTTTACTCTCTGTGACTCGGGCAAACTGCTGAGGTTGGATAGGGTGTACTTTGTATTTCCTTCACAGAGCAGAACAGGGTTAAACTTCCCTCAGCGGCTGTCAGCTCAGACAGTCAGAGGTTTAATTGTCTAAGACTAGCTCAAGTTCCCTCTTTATTTGTCCCTTCAGCACTGAGATGAGAAGCTCTCATATGAGAAATTACACAGACCACCTTTTGTGTACTCAAATATTTACACACAGTTGAGCTAACTAAGAAGTACTCGTTCCCAATTACAGTAATTTTGAAGTGTACATGGGCGGGAAACACCTTGGGCTGGATCAGTGTTGATGTAGATCACATGTCTGGACCCAACCCAGACCAGCCCTTTATCCCAGAGAGGTCCTCTGCATTCCAGATAGGCTCTCGCCTCGCTCTCTCCACATCCACCAGATCCCAAGCCGCCCTATTGCCAGTAGTAGGGGTGGGAAGGAACTCTAGCATGTATCCGTGAGTTGTTCTCACAATATGATTGTATTTAAGAAAAACAAGCATCAAACAATCTTGCCTTCTCTCTACTGACAATGGCCATTCAAACAGTAATTCAGCTTATTTTGTATTGGTTATGGTGTTTACTGAATAAATAAATCAAATAATGGCAATTGTAATTGGTGAATTGAGATCGTTTATCAATATTTTGAGTTGAACTGCCTAGTTCATAGGCAGGAGTTCTCAAAGTGGGGTCATTCAAAGCCACTAACAATGGCTTGCAGGGGGTTCGTGGCCAGATCTCAAAATATATATATAAAAATGTATATATATATTTTATGAATATTACTAACAACAACAGATATTTTTTTAATGGCCAAGGGATCCGAGGAATAAGTTAAGAGGTTGTAACACAATACAATGTGATATTATTAATCTACAATTTATGTTCTTAACCCTGGGGCAACATGGGTCTGGGAAGCTCACAGGGATATTGGGATCCACAATACTTTTACATAAATGCAGTGTAATTTAAGAATTAAAACTGCAAAGTTTTCTCTCTGCCTCATAATTTTTTTATAGAATTGCAGGATATTAGCTTTAAAGTTGCAACAACAAAAACATCTCTCTGCCACATGACAAAATCTGTAGAATTGCATGAAATTAGCTTGTAAACGGCAACATTTTCTCTCCGATGCCAAGAGACGAGCCTTTAAAATGTTCCTTCCTAGGGCCCGAAACTTGGTTTGTCTCACCATGCACTGCCAAAGTTATGGTAATACTCCTTGTATGCTATTTTTTATCTAACTCGAGCTGTGTTCTGATTATGAGGGGGTCCATGATTAATTTACTATCACAAAAGGGGTCCCGGCCCCATAACGTTTGAGAACCCCTGGTTAAGGTGTATGTATGTGTTTATTTGGGGGAGGTGGGGCAGGCAGGGTAGTAGGTATTTTGTGCAGTTATTTTAAGGAGTGGCGGTTTGTTGCAAGCTGCAAACAAGTTACAACTCATCTCCTGCCAACACTTCCCCCTTTATCCCTCTGATTTTCTGTCTCTCTGTTTCCCAGGGCTAACACTACATTGCCTGACCGATCACTATGTGCTATCTCAACTCTCTTCCTCTGAATTCATTTTTTATCAAGCCTCCCTCCATTTCTGTTAGTGTGTGTGTGTGTGTGTGATAGTGTGTGTCTATGACCCATGGTAATTTAGAGTGATGAAGCCGCACCCTGAGGGGGTGCCAGACTCAGGACTTCCATCATTAATGACTGCCTGTTTCAAAGTGCTGGAGCCAAGCAACCCAGTGCATGCTTTGTCAACGTCCATATCTAATAATATTAAAAATAATACATTGGATTTAAAGCACCTTTCAAGAAACACAAGGACACTGTACAGCAAGAGAGTACAAAACAAGAATAAAACAATAGAATGTCTGATTCCTGTCACTCATGTTAAGCCCTGTGACAGTGTCTCTGTGTTTGAAGTGGCCCCGTCTTCCTTTATTTGATATGTTATAGACGAGGAAGTGTTTGACCAGCTTTTAACATACAATATATAAATGTTCTCTCTTGTTCTGTCTTTCTCTCAGTCATCATGTTGGTTCTTCTAGCCGGAATCTTCCTCCTTCACCTCACCAGCATCATCCTCCTCCTAGTGGCAACTATCGACAATGTAAGTAATCCCCCACTGCACCTCCTCCACTTAGTTTTCTCTTCATGTTGACATAGCCCTTCTTTCACAATGTCTGTGGGGTGTTGAATCAAAAGAGGATAGCATGCTATGTTAGCCCTCATCGGCTCAGACCTTTGGTGCTGTTCTGTCAGTGTTCCACTTTTGTTTTCTGGACTACATTTCTGAGCTCACTCTCACACCTGAGAGAAGACAGGAGACAAACAGTTTGGCCAGTGTTTCATCACTCTGTGTGTGTGTGTGTGTGTGTGTGTGTGTGTGTGTGTGTGTGTGTGTGTGCACGTGCGCCTGCGCGTTATCGTCAACAATGTGGCTGCATATACATGCTCTTGTTCGTGTGTGGGATTCCAGTGAGTGTTAAAAGGCCTGTCTGTCATAGTGAGAGGTGCATACCTGGCTGCTGTGGAATGCTGCTACATTCTACAGATGTACATTCCACCCATTGACTATTGTCCCTGTGCCTGGACATCCAAATGCATGTTACAACACAACACATGAACCTGTGGATGTTCATTGACTATCTCTCCTCTCTGTCCTGTCCAGGCCTGGTGGATGACAAAAACCGTGTCCACTGATGTGTGGGCCAGGTGGATACTGACCAATGGAACCTGGAGCTCAAATGATCTCCCCAGCCACTACCCTCAAGGTAAGCCTGGGCCATACTGGACCGCTGGGCTAAAATGTAATCAAACATTCTCTGTGGGGAAAAAACAGCACTGCAGGAAATTAGCATTGCTCCTGGATATATATGTAAATATCAACCTACACGTGAATTAAAATGTTTTTTTTTCTGTCTCAAGTCACCCCAATATATAAATTTTTGCAGCACAGAAACAGGAACAGTGTTGTTTCTCCAGGATGTGGGTTTACTGCGGTGTAGGTTTGATTGAATTCAGGGTAGAGTGCCGTAACAACTGTCAGACTAAGCCTGCCATCTAACCTGTCTCTGTGTGTCTGTCAGTGTCTAGCATGATTGATCAGTAAGTACTCTATTGGCCAATGAGGGAGAACAATGCCATGTTCTCATAGAGGAAACTGAACAGAGGGTGTGGCAGGATCAGGGACAGGGTTGGGGCGGGTGAGGAGGTTCAGATTTGCTTGAATACATACACTGAAAGTGTATTACAAATACAGTGAGTCTGTGTTTAGACCTTTAGTGAATGTGTGGTCAAGTATATATGTAGCAATGTTGTATCTCTCATAAAGTGTTTTATTTGATGGCTGAGAAACCCTTTTACAACCTAATGAAATGAACTCGTCTTAAATCCTCTTATAAATATTCCTTAGCACACAATTTTCCAGATTAAAATACTTTCATTGTGTTTTAAAAAAATCTCCTCCCACTTGTTTTGACAGAACTGCCCCTTTCACCTCTGCATTCCAGAGCGTGACACAACACTGTTTCGTTAATACGGTGTTGATTTCTGGGTGTTTCTGTTCTGTAAATAGTCCTTACTCTGTGTCTGTCTCTGTCTCCCTCTACAGACTACCTCCATGCAGTGCAGGCTAGCTCCATTCTGGCCTGCATATTCTCCTCCCTTGGCCTGTTTGTGTTTGTGGGACAGCTCTTCACTCTGTCAAAGGGACAGAGATTCACCTTCTCTGGCATCTTCCAGCTCCTAGCCTGTAAGTATTGCCCTAAACACTTTAAATCTTCAACCTGTTAAACAATTAGTTCTGTCTTTGCTTGACCTTTGTCTGTCCCTCCCTCCCTCCAGGCCTGTGCATCATGATCGCTGCCTCCATCTACACAGACATCTTTCACAAGGGTGAATCGGATGGTTGGTATGGCCACTCCTTCATTCTGGCCTGGATCTCCTTTGCGTTCACCTTCATCTCCAGTATCATCTACTTTGTCCTGCGAAAGAAGACAGCAAACTAGAAGCAGAAGACTATCCCAAACCCAAGAGACAGGCTCAATATCTTACGATCTGATCGTTTTTTGTACAATTAGGTATGGATATGAGTGTGTGATACCAAAGGGGAGAGTTGTTATCCACAATTTTTCTGGCTTGAATTTTGATTCATGTATCTCTTTTGGTTCCCACCTTATATGAAGTGTGTATAAATATATGGATTTACATAGTAATAACTTACCTGTCCTGCCCACATAGTAATAACTTACCTGTCCTGCCCACATAGTAATAACTTACCTGTCCTGCCCACATAGTAATAACTTACCTGTCCTGCCCACATAGTAATAACTTACCTGTCCTGCCCACATAGTAATAACTTACCTGTCCTGCCCACATAGTAATAACTTACCTGTCCTGCCCACATAGTAATAACTTACCTGTCCTGCCCACATAGTAATAACTTACCTGTCCACATATTACCAAGTCCATGTTTAGTTTTTTAAATATAAAGTGGGACCAAATTGTACAGCGCTCATATATTCGTTGGAGAATGTATAGGGGAGTCAGAGAGTGAAAGAGTATAGCCCTGCAGAATCTTATTATTTCAGAATCATAGTCCTGAAATATTCTTGCTTACATTTTAATTTATTTCTCAATTAGGCTCAGAATAAAACAAGGCCAAAACACTCAAAACCAAATAGAAGAAGGAATTGACGCCTCACTAGAGTGCAGCAAACAGAGTCCAATTTCGGAAACTGTCAGCGATCATTACCCCGTTTGACTTACAGTGTGCAGAATAAGACAAAGAATATCATGTATTTGCCAATGTCCATACATGGAATGGAACATTAGTACTAACCTCACTGCTAACTAGACCACTCCCCTTTTTAGTATGTAATTATTTTATGCTGTGTACCATTAGTCTTATTGTGTAGGTTAACTTCCGTTTGTCTGAATCAACCTATCCCCCAGACAAACCAACAGATAGATAGAGTACCTTGAAATCTAACAGAGCACGTTTGCTCGCTGCACATTGAGATATATGTGTAAATATGAACATGTTTGGTTGCACATTATGCTTGGTAGATGCTAATGGAGTATTTTGTTAATTTTACCGTAAGTAATGTATAATATTGTATTAAACCTGATTAAATCTACATTTCTTTCATTGCAGACTATTTAATGAAATCAAAGCGTGAAGAGACAGATGAAATGAATATAGTCTGAGCTGGTGCAGGCAAGAGCCTTGCATCGCAGTCTAACTTGCCATTAGATCTGGTTCGATCAGGGCGTCGACAGCCTCGCGATCCGAGGCTCATGGGGCAACATTGGCCCACTCGTCCAGGTAGGGGGCACATGGCAGGCAGATTGAGTCAGTTGTTCTGAGCATGGCGTTTGCAAGTAGCAGGTTTTGTTTGATTCCCAGGGGGTGCAGTATAAAAAATGAATTAAATAATTCACTAGTCATCTGGAAAGCTTCTAAATGACAATGAATGTAAAAGAAGTAAATTGTCACTGGTAGAGGGGCACCACAGTGAAACTGACAGAAGGTATACTAATCTCTGCATGAAAAGATTTTGCACATTTTCACCAAGCTTTATTGACAGCATGCATACACGTTTGGACAGAGAGCTTCAACAGACTACTTCACACTGTTTTGCTCTGTCAAAATCAAAATGCATGTTGGCTCATAGGTAAGTATCACACATCTACAGTCAAAGTGGGCTGTACTCCTCATCTGAGTACTCCCTCCCCTCTTCCTCCATATCTCTGCCCCTGTCCTCTGAGTAGTACTGGGGTGTGTAACTGTGGACGTAGAGGGGCAGAGAGATGGAGGGAGAGGGGAGGGAGTGGCGGTGATAGGGGGACAGGGGAGCAGGGTGGGACGGGGGAGGTGGTAAGTATTCAGGGTGGGGGAGGGATAGGGAGTGGGTGAGTGGATGGGGTGATGAGGGTGGGGGTGGCGAAGGGGGGTCATAGTAGGGCGACAGGGGGTGAGAGTTCTGGGGATGGTAGGGACATGCAGGGGTGTGGTGGCAGAGGGCAGTAGCAGGAGGCCGGGGGTAGCAGGGGCTTTATGTCAGGGAATCGAGGGGGGTACAGGCGGGCTTTACGCCTCCGCTCCATTACAGCCTTCTTGGTGTAGTTGTTGAGGGTGGAGACTCCTGACAACATGCAGCAGGTAAAGGCCAGCCATGCCACACTGAGAGAGAGAAACAGAGTAAAGAGAAAGGAGCAGCAAGGTGGATAGTGTTCATCTGAATCCATGTGTGCAAGCCTACTGTTGCAAACATATTTCATACCCTTATCTTACTAAAACACAATTGCTACAAGGCATATGCGATATTGCAATAATCTATTTGAGTTGGACAGAGGTCTTTAACAGGAGCCCAGGTCTCCTGAGAGTCCTTGAGGTAAATTATTGGGTGTCTCTCTTATTTAAAGGGGGAAAATGTAAGCACTTAAGCACACTTGCTCTTAGAGACCAAAAGAGGAGCAGAGCACACTGAAGATCAGAGAATGAGTAGTGGTACTTTAGTAAACAGTGTGTGTGTGTGTGGTGCGTGCAGACTCACTAAAAGGCCCAGGAGTAGCTGTAGCTGTGTGGTTTGAAGTCCTCTGGACCCATAGAGGCAGTAGTCTGAAACACCTGCATGAACATCATGTGAGCCACCATTCCCAGTAACCCTAAGATAATAAAACAGAGATTAAATGGCAGACATTGAAAGCGTTTATGTGGATTAGATCAGAGAGACTTTTTCATACAAGCACTGATTTCACTAATAGCTTTATTGAGGAAAGTTTTACTTGCAATGACTGTGATGTGTGGTTGTCTTACCTACCTTAGTTGAACACACTGACTGTAAGTTGCTCCGCATAATAGCGTCTGCTAAACCAGGGTTTCCCAAACTTTGCCCTAGCACTACACAGCGGACTCAAATAATCAAAGCTTGATGATGAGTTGGTTATTTGAATCAGCTGTGTAGTGCTAGGGCAAAAAACAAAATGTGCACCCAGGGGGGTCCCAGAACCAAGTTTGGGAAACTATGTGCTAAATTATCAAAAAAATAGAATCTAATGTAAAATGTGTACCTCCTAAGATAGTGAAGATTGCGGAGTAGGCATTGAGGAGCTGTCCCCAGCGCTGTGAGGGCCAAAAGGCATCCAGACACAACTGCAGAGACAGCAGCACACAGCTGATACACAGCAGCCCAACATACATGAGCTCCATCGACACTGACAGCCACAACATTCCTGCAGGGAGAGAGAGGACGATTACAGTACAACTATGTCATGACTGTGCAATGTGTACCAACATACACTCTTGACACTGCAGAATAATTTACCTTTTTCACCTCCTGGAGTTAAAGAAAGAAAACTGCGACACTTTTCCTCTAAAAAACGAAAGACAGATATTACGATGATCATTATTTATTATATCAGATAAGGTTAATTTCTGTGTGGGACAGATTAAATACATAGCATCAGGAATAGCTGTCCTTCAGGAAACCTTTCTACCCACGGGGCACATTGGGTCATATTTGGTTGAGACGTTGATCAATGAGATTACAACCTACATTCACCAACTCAAAAAGACAGCCAAGGGTTTTTCCAATGTGTTATCACTATGCTGTCAACCATCTAAAAGCACAACCAAATTCCAATGGAAAAACAATATCTGATTTTTGGTTTATTTATACAACAGATTATCGTGTTATCACTGTGTTTCATCTGACAGCAGAACCAAATGACCTGGACTGCAGTTACGATTACATTAAAAGGTAGGTTTAACAGAGAAAAATGAAATGTAACCATACTTTATAAGTCATATATCATCAATGATACTATTTAGGCCTGTATAGAATTTGCAACCCAGGATTCAACAAAAAAATAGACAATACATACAGTAGAGGCCTAGGGTTTCAAGCTTTGGTTGATTTGAAATGTAATCTTCAAGTTAATCATTAACATGTTGTATTCATGTCTCCATCTAAACCAAAAATCTAAGTTAAAGAATATGACTAAATAAGTGCATTTAAAGTTTGATTCAATTAGATTTAGTCCTATTTTTTTATTTGATTTTTGGTTTAGATGGAGACTTGAATCCAACATATAATTTATTAATTTGGAGACAAATTGGATATTGAATTGTGTTTGGTTGTCAACGCAAGCAAATATCTACATTTGAAGGAGATGTATCTTATGCTTGGATAGTTCCATCTGTGCCACTGACTTAGTCTGGCTTTACTTCCAGTTTGTCTACAGATTAATAATTGATATGTTGGATTCACGTCTCCAGCTCAACCCAAAACAATGAAGTTAAAGAATAGGACTAAATCAACAAAAACTTGAAATGCACTTTAAATAAAGTTTGATTTGATTGAAATCCAAACGCATTCAATATCACTAAATATCATTACATTTGAAATCCTAGGCCTAGTGTATTGTCTATTTTTAGTTGAATTCTAGTTGAATTTAAACAATAGCTGTTGATGACTTTGCAAATATTATATAGGCCTTAAAGATGCACTATGTAGAAATCGCTCCGCCATTTCCTGGTTGCTAAAATTCTAATAGTTCGCCTAATTTCAGTTTATGTGACAAAATAAGCTGGTATAGTGTAGAGGATCATTGTACCATCTAAACCGCTGTGAAATATATTTTCCATAAACAAAAATATAGTATTTTCAGCTGTTTGAAGATGGTGTACAAAAACGAACGTAAAAGACGCAAAAACTAAACTTAAGAACAGGAAGCATATAAATAGCGCACATAGAACAGATCCACCGCTTCTTAGACTTGCTTTCAATGAGAATGACATAGCTATAACACACATATCTATGTGAATTTTGTCTGATCGCCCAAAATGTAACATATTGCAGCTTTAAATAGCATCATTGATGATATATGAGTGTTAAAGTATGGTCTTGTTATATTTGCTTCCATTTGGAATGGCTTCGATAGCAACAGTGAATATTTTTAGGTTCTAAGTGGAGATTTCTCAACAATCACTCTCACAATAGCACCTTGGTAATAGTCTGTGACAAATATTGTAGCTAAGCAGGGGCGGGCCTGTATGGGAGACCAGAGGTAGCTGACGCTAGGTCAATTCTCCAGTAGGAGGTGCTGTTTTTTTTCTGATAGTGGATATAACGTTGAATGTCTGACGTTGTTTCGAAGGTACAAATTCAACATATTTTATACAAGGTTTGTCGATGTTGAAATTTGGTTACCATAATTACATAATCCTGTGGTTGAAATTTCACCCTCAAAACAACAGTTAACTTTAATGACTTTTTTACAATCCAATGTATTTTCCACAGATTCCACATCACAATATGTTGACAAATTACGTGGATTCAACCAGTTTGTGCCCAGTGGGTAGTCATGTATGAGAACAGTATGTCTTTTTAATACTTCTCATCCACCAGACAAGATATCCTCAAATCCTTCATTGTCAGTAGAAATCCCACAGCTCTATCAAGTCTTCTCCAGCCTCAGCTTTAGGGTGTTGAGTCCAGTCAAGCCGGGGGGGTTGAATAATATGAACCTTTCTCTCTATCTGGTCATAATCCATAATTGAGTCATGTTGTTAGAATCTAAATCTCCCTGAACAGAGCACCGATAATAATCCTCTTTAGAGAGTGCAAGAGCTCACACACACACACACTCCACCGTACCTAGACTCTAATTGCGTTTCATCTCACCAGTGATTTTCCCCTTTCTTACCCATTTTGCTCCTTGCTTCCCATAGTAACATTACTGTGTGACTGCAACTCCCCCACTTTGAACCCACTATATGCCACTCTTGTGCACAAACCTACAGGTATTAAAGTTCCAACCATCCATTTTCACCCCCCAAAGTCTCACCCCAGGCGTCGGTGTAGATGTTCTCCTCACAGCTCATCCACATGCCTGCATGGAAGGCAGGGAAGACGAAGCGGTCGTCCCCCGTCTCCCAGGAGAACTGGATGGAGGTGGAGTTATGCGAGACCCCGGGCACAGGGATGCATTTGGTCAGTTTGTTGGCCGAGCAGAGGGGCTTGGGGACTTTCTGACTGCCCTCACACCAGTAGGAGGACAAGAGGGCCATTGCCCCCAGGACCAGAGACACCAGTGTCTGGAAGAAGGTGAGCTTGGGGGACCTCACTCTGGACAGAAACGACATGATGAAGGGAGAGAGAGGGAACCTGGGTTGGGGGGAGGTGTTGGAGAGAGGAAGAAAGAGAGAAGTTGTATTTTTAACAGCTGGTCAAACACTCCCTCTGTCTATATATAATGATAAAGGGAGACGGAGCCACTTCAGACACAGAGACTCTGTCACAGGGCTAAACATGAGTGACAGGAATCAGATATGGACGTTGACAAAGGCTGCACTGTGAGGCTCGGCTCCAGCACTCTTTTAAACAGTATTAAGAGAGTTGAGAGAGAGTTGAGAGAGGGTTGAGAGAGAGTTGAGAGAGGGTTGAAAGAGAGCAAATGGAAAAAGAAAGATAAAGTATTCAGAGGAATTGACAACCCAACTGAAAGAAAACAATCTAATCCCCCAACGTCTTTCCTTTCTTGGACACACACTAAGAAGTTTGTGACTTTGCATGGGTACACACAATCTAACCTTGCACTCTGGAAAGTACTCGCAGGTTGCACTCAACCACAATGAAACCAGGCTCAGTATTGTGAGCAGAGGGGATCCAATCTGCGCGAGCAGGGGTCTTCAACCTTTTCTTTCCCAGGGCCCAGGGCAAACCGGCGACCCTCATCATACGTTAGCAAAAAAAAAAAATCACGTCTTGTCTTATCATAAGGTGAATGATAATGGCAAGGAGAAGTAATACACATTTTAAAATTAATAGATTTGGTAAATAGTTTTTCATTATTTTGACCTCCCCTTATTATAATTGGAAGAGGAAGTGTAAACTCTAATAATAATAATAATAATATGCCATTTAGCAGACGCTTTTATCCAAAGCAACTTACAGTCATGCGTGCATACATTTTTGTGTATGGGTGGTCCCTGGGATCGAACCCACTACCTTGGCGTTACAAGCGCCGTGCTCTACCAGCTGAGCTACAGAGGACCACACAAACATAGTCTATTAGCTAGAAAGGTAACTCCAAACACATTTTTGCTAAGAGCAGCTGTTTAACTGGTTAAACAAAGGTTAGCCCTGTGTTGTCCAATTCAAGAAAGCTTACCAGCAGCCAGCGGCACTTTCCGCATTGGTAGCCTATTCGCAGGTGCTTTTCAAAGCCTGTCACACACTACAATGAGTGTAATACCAAAGACAGTAGAAACTCTGTGTAATTTTCTCAATATTACGAGTTGAGAAATAAAGTTTACATCATTAGAAAGAAGATATTCTCCTCTTTTCTACTGTAGGGTATGTAATTCAAAATGTGTTTATTATATTGTTGCTAGCGATATTCAGAAAAACAATGTTCCACTTTTTATTTATTTATATTTTCACGGACCCTAGGACGCCTGGTGGAATACCCCTGTGCTAGAGGGCAGGTGTGGTTTAAGACGGAGTGATTATATCACTAATTATATAACTGAATGACAAAGAATGGGAGAACACAAAATGGAAATGGTAGGAAGACCAGCAGGAGTAGAAAATGGCAGCAATTACAGGAGAAAATAGCTTATCTGTGAATCCTTTAGAACAAATAATGGCTAAAATGTTCAGAAGCGTTGACGTCAGACAGTAAGGATCATTTGAAAGAGAAAAAGGACCCACCTTCAACCTGTCTTATTTCCTCTTTAGTTCTTCATGGAGTGAGTGTGGATTGTGGTAGTATTTAATGTGTATTCCTCTACCCATCTCCTCTCTCTCTTCTCTTCCTCTCCATCAGATAGCATGTCAGTGATTCAGGGTGTTGACCCTCACAGTAACCTCTGTGGAGTGTGTGGTTGTCACTCTTCATGATACCGCTTGGTCAGTAAATCAGTGTGCTCAACCAAGCCTTAAGCTCCCCTCTTCTTTAATCTATTGATACAACTCTAAATCCACAGTGGACAAATCCATTCAATCTGTTCTCATTTTCATCAATTTCATCTACTATTTTACCCCTCCTGTCTTCCCCCTTTCTCTCTAACTGGCCACACTCTCCTAATACTACCAGTTTGAATATAGTGTACCAGATATAGTGTACTAGCACCACAGCCTGAACTCCAATCTAGCGACTTTCAAAGTAAAATGTATGACTTCACGTCACTTGAATTTAACATTGATTACACCGTATGTTGTATTTAATCTTACAAATAAGAAACTCCTGGACAAATTCTATTCCCACACAGACACATTTCTGGTAGTTAGTCTCTGAGAGACTTTCCATAGAACTTTACCAGAATGGTAAATCTCCCATCAGTTTTTCCTCAGAACATCCTGAATAAATGCATCTATTTACAATTGTATTTCTTGATTCAACCTGTAGAGCTGAAGATCCGTGCTGTAGCTCAATTGAAATGTAAAGACCCATTGCAGTCAAAATGCTGCTTTTCCTGTGTCGTATATCATACTGTACAACAGTTGTAAAAATCTGAACATGTTTTACTGTGTTACTTCCTGATAGTTGCTGGTTGAAAATACACTGAACAAAAATATAAACACAACATGCAACAATTTCAAAGATTTTACTGAGTTACAGTTCATGTAAGGAAATCAGTGAATTGAAATAAACTAATTATGCCCTAATCTATGGCTTTCACATGGCTGGAGTGTGGATCAGAAAACCAGTCAGTGTATGGTGTGACCACCATTTGCCTTATGCAACGCGACATCTCCTTCGCATAGAGTTGATCAGGCTGTTGATTGTGGCCTGTGGAATGTTGTCCCACTCCTCTTCAATGGCTGTGCGAAGTTGCTGGATATTGGCGGGAACTGGAACACGCTGTCGTACATGTCAATCCTGAGCATCCCAAACATGCTCAATAGGTGACATGTCTGGTGAGTATGCAGGCCATCAAAGAACTGGGACATTTTCAGCTTCCAGGAATTGTGTAGTAGAGTTGAAACCGGGATTCATTAGTGAAGAGCACACTTCTCCAGCGTGCCAGTGGCCATCGAAGGTGAGCATTTGCCCACTGAAGTCAGTTACGATGCAGAACTGCAGTCAAGACCCTGGTGAGGACGACGAGCACGCAGATGAGATGGTTTCCGACAATTTGGGCAGAAATTATTTGGTTGTGCAAACCCACAGTTTCATCAGCTGTCTGGGTGGCTGGTCTCAGACGATCCCACAGGTGAAGCAAGATGTAGAGGTCCTGGGCTGGCGTGGTTACACGTGGTCTGTGGTTGTGAGGCCAGTTGGACATACTGCCAAATTCTCTAAAATGACTTTGGAGGCAGCTTATGGTAGAGAAATGAACACTAAATTATATGGCAACAGCTCTGGTGGACATTCCTGCAGTCAGCATACCAATTGCACGCTCCCTCAAAACATCTGTGGCATTGTGTTGTGTGACAAAATTGCACATTTTAGAGTGGCCTTTTATTGTCCCCAGCACAAGGTGCATCTGTGTAATGATCATGCTGTTTAATCAGCTTCTTGATATGCCACACATGTCAGGTGGATGGAATACCTTGGCAAAGGAGAAATGCTAACTAACAGGGACGTAAACAAATTTGTGCCAAACCTTTTAGAGAAATAAGCTTTTTGTGTGTATGGAAATTTCTGGCCTCTTATTTCAGCTCATGAAACATGGGACCAACACTTTACATGTTGTGTTTATATTTTTGTTCAGTATACAATCTACTCAGGACCTTCTAAATCAGCAGGTTTGCATGGGCGGGAGTTTCGGCTTTCCATGGTGACATCACCATGCTGTAAATAGGTTAATAGTCCAATAACAAATAGTTACAAACCTCTCTGCCAATAACAACTAGTTTTCAGTTTTCCCTTCCCCAATCCTAGCAAAATTATTGCATGAGAAATAGTTTTTCTGCTAGAAAAGTACTTTTGCCCATTTTAATGGAACTCTATTACAGTAAAGGGTATTTAATTGTTACCAAGAAATGATTTGATAATGATATAAAAACCACTGCATTGGGCCTTTAAAAAGGTCATTTCCGTTTGAACTGACATATGCAGCGTTTACTGTGAACGCAGTCTCTGTGAACACGGGAACATTGCCTTTAAATTTCAATCACGCTGTAGCGCGGATCTTCAGCGCAACGGATTGAATCGAGCCCTTGGGGTTTTCAGGAAAGTGGTGAGCTGGCTCCTACCACAAGAGGGAGCACTTCATCAACATTAAGGAAAAACAGAATTACACAACACACCCATGATGAACCATACAGTACAGTACTCAAAACACCATAATAGATGTCAAAACACATACTAGCATCCCTACTGAACTTGAGACATGCAGAGGGACAGAAACTCATAACTAAAAAAGGTGTTACTACTAAGACAATATGGAGACCATGCTTCAACCAAAATGTAGCTACAATGCACAATTCTCTGCACATTTCTGACATTTGGTTTCTGAATGACATTTGTGACTGAACGCATCACTCTCACTTGGGTCTTATAACTGTTGCTCTGATATGTGGGGCCAGATTTTATCCTCACTTGAATATATGCAGTGAACCTGAGCCTCACTGTCAGCAGTAGACAATTTAAGACACAGCAGGAGCGAGAAGGGTGTGTGTGTTTGAGAGAGAGAGACTGAGAAGAAAAGGAGTGATAGAATGAAAGGAGAGACTATTGAGCTGAGAGAACCCATTTACATACAATAAAAACCTAAATTAAATTGGAATTAAAAAAATGAATGGCTTAAATGGCACAATGTGAAATATTCAAAAGGACAGCATTATTTTAAGCATTTAGTAAGTGTATTCATAGTTCATATACATATTGACAGCATGTTTTCAATATCATACTTGTTTTCTTTCAGTTTGACTTTTTTTTTACAAGAACAATAATAAAAAATGATAAGACAACACCACGTACAACTCACTTGTTTAGTTCATGGCAACGCTTATTTTGGATGCATTTAGCATCTCTTGATCCATTTCTTAAGTGTCATTGAGAAATGAAGTAAAAGGTGAGGACTCCCAGTCCCAGTCATTCCAAAAACCCTCTAGATTCCAAAAGGTTTTGGTAATGCTTGCTAGCTTTTTGTCAGCCAAGTGTGACTATCCTTTCACATAAACTCCACCCATGTACTGAACAAGGTCCACCACAACGTCAACACTTGGTTCACCTGTCACTTGACATCTTCTCCCAATCAACATGGTCAAACATGGCAGGCATGCATTAGTGAATATTGTGATCTCCTCCTGTCAGGGTTCAATTGTTCTCTCAGCACATTATGAATATTTTGTTTGAAAAATAAAGATCATGTCCATTCGATTTTCATGAATACTATCTGTATCGTAAAAACCCCAAGGATGAAAAATAAGAACACTTTTCAAAGGACCAAAAATTGACAATCAAATCCACATTTTCACACACATTCACTCTTATACATACGCACTTTGAAAGGCAACAAATGTCCATTCTCCAAGGCAATAATGTCATTCTGGCACCTCCCTCTCCAGGAATGATAAAATATCCAATGTTTGATAAATGATATGTTGACAAAATATAAATGGAGGAACATTTCAGGAAATACTGATGCAGATACAAAATAATAATGATAACTAAAATAATGATTATGAAGGTTATGATAAAATACTACATGAACTAGATACATTGCCTCTCCTTTCCTTCCAACTATAATGTCAACTTTTCACCCCAACGCTCTCTTACGGTCCTCTGGAGGGATTGCTCCCAATACTCCGATTCATAACATTTGGACAAAAAACATGATAGATAAAATGACGAGAGCCATGATGGAAAGAAGAGTTTGAGGGTATTTCCAGAAATTCAAAGTTTGCCTAGAGAGGCTGCTTGTTTCTTGTCTTCTTTTAAGAGGAAGTTCCTTTCTGTTCTGTCACTCGCAATGTCTCATTCTGTCCCACCTTGGTCTTCCTTTTTAGTCTTCCTCAGCGTTGCTTTGATCGGTTTTTCTTTTTAAAGTAAGGAGTTTTGTCTTTTCATTAAATGTTTTAAAGTTAATTCCTGTTCAGAAATTTTACAATCCTCTTTTTTCTCTGTCATCATAGTCCATCCATCAATAGATGCACGTCCCATCCTGTTTAGGGCTGTTTGTTTCACTGACAATCCTCATCGTCCAAGCATACCTAGGAAAGGATACAAAAATCAAGTGTGTATTGACACCAGGGATTACACAACCCTGTGTGTGGTCGAAACAGTGGGCATTTCCAAATCTATGATGAGCAGAAGACATTTTTTGTAACTTGATGTTACCTTGAAGCGTATGATATAAACAAAAATAATAATCAGCCCTGGGCTAATAAATATTTAGCTTTATCTTTGACAGACAATTTTTTTGGTTTAACAATTTGCGGATAATTTGGGGGGATATGAACACAAACAAATAGAACAGGGTGCTCAGTCGCATACTAATCAAATATTAGTATTTTCAAATCCTTAAGAGCGTTGTAACATTAATTTCGGTGCCCTCTCGCACAGTCGCACCACTGCCTTTTAAACTTACCGATCCTATACTCCTGCGTCTCTTCCTCCTCAGTGTCTCTCTCAGCCTCTCTCAGACTGCTCAAGGTACACAGACTTAGCTGGCTGACTGCTCTGGGGAAACTGCAGAATATAAGAGGGGGGGGCAAAGGAGAGAAGGTCATTAAAGTGGTAATAACTATAGTAGCAGAATTTAGTTTCTTAATAACTATAGTGGCACATGAGATAAAGGACTTTAAAATATATTAACACAATGAAGAGTCACAAATATTTGGTTTCCCTAGGAATTATATAATAACCAACCTCTCCCTCTTTACCTTGTGCTTCGGACATCGTAGTGAAAAGTTATCTTCATTCAGAGAGCAGTCTGAGGAGAGGAGAAGGAAAAGTGATACAAATGATGTAACATAACCATCAACTCAGAAAATTATAAACACTCAAACTTTCATAATTGGGTACTGTTGTTATAGTTACCGTAGGCAGTGGGAGGTAAGGTTTAGGGCACAGCATATGAGTAATGAGATATAACATAGTCGGTATTAAGGAAATGTTTTGCTGCTCTTACCTGCATCCATGGCACACGGGTAGTGATATCTCAGTGTGCAGCCTTTGCTGTAACAGCCGAGGGTTGAGCCAACCATTTCACAATATGAGCAGACCTGAAGACAGACAGACGTAACATAGAGAATAACAGAAGAGAGAGTGCAAAAATCAATCAACTTAAAACTGGGGGACTTCTGAGAACCGCTTTAGGCATATTGAGCTGAAAATAAAAATATATATATAGTAACCAATATCATTACATTGTATACTGTATAGACAACAACAGAAAAAGATTACTCACTGTGTCTCTGGCACCATCTAGTGCCTCCTGTAGGCCATACAGTCTTCCATTGACCAGGTAAACCCCACTGGCCCAGACCATGCATGCCTCATGTACCCACAGCTCCTCTGGGTCCATAGGCATCTGAGGAAGTTGGGCCAGCTGTGCCAAAGGCCCAAGGGAGTCTAAGGTTGGGGGAGGAGGCTGGAATGGCAATGAGGCTTTGCTGTTGGATGGCACCATTCTTGGGGAATCCTCACTGGATTTCTGTCTCCTTTTAAATCTCGGGTGCGATGTCAGCTTTCTGTGTTGTGGCCTTTGTTGAGCGTCTTCTGTCTGCTGTTGCTGGCATGGTTGGTTTTGCTGACTGTAAGTGGGCTCATCCTGAGGTTCAGGTTGTTTCCTTAGCTCAGTAATTGGTTTTAACTCTGGAGGCATGTCCCAATTAAGAATTGTTGTCTTGTTGGTGGTGGTTTTAGCAAGTTTGTTGGCCAGATAAAGCATCTCCCCTCCACCTGCTGGAGAGGCAGTGCCAACAGCAGTGGCAGGGGAAGTTGTATTTGTCGCTTGACTGAACATGCAATTACTATAAGTTGAGGACTTGACAGTTGGCACATCTTGCAGTTGAGGGCCCTGGGTTGAAATGGTGTCTAGATTTTGCACATTTCTACTCATTCCAGTAGCTACAAGACTCTGTCGAATCTGTGGTTGATTCTTGGGAAGCCTTGTAGCATATTCAGGAGGGTAGTAAGGTCCATAGAGATCCCCAAGGTTTTTGTAATTGGCCCATTTCTGGCACAGGCAGCAGAGAAGACGGTCAGAATGAACTGATTCAGTAATCACAGGGCCTGGTAGAAGGTACTCAGATGAAGGTAGAGCCTTTCCTGTCTGGAGGGCAGAGTCTACTTCCTCCAGCTCCCTCTTCTCTTTGACCCTCTCAATTTCTCGGTCTCTCCTATGCAGTTGAGACAAAAGAGCTGAGGTCAAAAGAGCTTCAATACCACTACTACTTGCTTTCCCTCCAACTGCACCACGCTCTCCCTTCATCTTTTCCTCTTCACCATTCACAATTGTGCACACGGCTCCTATCTCAGCTACTTTCCTCTCCACATGTATGTACGGAGCAAAGGCACACTTGCTATTATCAGGAAGAACTCTGCTGTTATCAAAATGTTCTCCTCCTCTTGTAGCCGCTTCCAGGTCATCTTTGGCCGCCGCTGCTGCTACTCCTCTTCTCCTCCTCCTCTGCCTACCTCTTGATCCCACTCCCTCACTCTCGTCTTTCACCCCTTCTTTGTTTCTGGCGGACTGATTTCACCTCCGTCTCTGGCTGAGTGTCCTCACTTTCAGCATCCACTTTTACTGCTTGGGTCAAGACTGGTGGAATCTCAGGAAGAGTCATTTTCTGATCAGTCTGAGGAGTGACTGATGGGGCAGAGGCTGTAGTGCTGGGGCTTGGGGCTACCTGTGGGGTAACAGTTGCAGGAGATTGGGTGGGTGGGCCAGACGGAGCACTTGGGCTCGCATTCTGTGCCTGGGTGGCTTGAGCACGTTTCTGCTTATTCACACTTCCAACAGGCCTTCCCTTCTTCTTGCCTGATGGGAAATAGCCTTTGGGTACAGAATTGTCTGATTGTTTGGAATCTTGTGGTGACCCTGTCATTGCCAAACATGCCCTTGGAGAAGTTTGATGTGGCTGTCTTAGCAAGTGCCCTTGAGCCTGACTGTGGTGTGGTGGGGTGGTTCCATAATAGTCACTGCTACTGTAATCATCAAATCCCATCCCAGTTTCTTCAAGTTTTTGTCTCAGAAGGTTAGCAGCAGATTGTTCACCTCTTCGAGTCTCAAGTTGCTGGTAAGTATTAGTGAAATGTTGAATATCAGACAAGGCAGATGAAGAAGGTGGGGGGGAGCCCTGTACTGGACAAGGTAGTGGTGGAGGTGGGGGTAAGGGGCCTAACAAGGTGAAGTCAGCGGGTATCTCTTTATCTCTATCACCAGTACTAGATGCTGCAGTCCCTAACCCAAAGTCAAAGTCTGGCTGCAAAGGTCTTGTAACAGTTCCTGTGGTGCCACGTTTAAGAACTTGTGATGTCTGGTGAGGATCACAGGGGTATGCGGTGGGAGGTAACGGTCCAGTCTCATCAACCCCTCTGTAGGGCATAATGTCACTTAATGAGAGACTTTCATCTAGATAAGGTAAGCATTCCTCTTCATCCTGTGTGTCAGTAAACTGTGACATTTCAGTGTGAGAAAATCCAGCAAAATCATTTGAGTCAACATCGGCATGGCTGCTGTTAGTAGATTTCTTCACATTTGGTGTAATTTTCTGAACAATAGCCTCCAGTTTCAAACCTCTCCCCTTTCTTGGAGGCAGACTCTTTTTACCCTGAACAGGTGAGGAGGATTGTGAATAAGTGCTTTGTCCAGGTGTGGGACAAGGAGTATTAGGCGAACCAAGTGTAGTTATATCTGAACTGGATGAATCATCTTCATTTTGGAGGCTGGATTCAGAATAGGCCAAAGGTGAGTGATATGAACTAGGGGCACTCCTTTGCTGGGATACATCCTGATGCTGCCTCTTGGCAGGGATAGGGGAAATGAAAGATCGAACTCTCCTCCTCAACATTAATGGATTAGTGTCCCCAGAACCACCAGTTTTATTTGGTCGATGGCTCTGTGGCATCACTGAATTGACATTGCCACCAATACTGTGACCAGCTGTTTTCATGGAATTGGGTGTAGGTGTTGGATGGAGTGATTTAAAGATTTCTTCTGTAACCACTTGGGAGACAGCTGATTCAAGAATGTTGGAGACTGGTGGAGCTGTTGGAACCAATTGGGGGGAAGCAGGAGGTGGCTGTTGACTTCTCTGGTAAGGGTCCCCCTCCAACATCCCTACACTCTCTCTACCAGAGTGTGTTGACTCCCACATTTTCATGTCATAGTAAGTGTTCTGATGAGGAACTTGCTGGTTAGCGAACGGTTGGCGACTGTGCAAAATGTCAGTTGGAGACTGCATTCTTTGTCTCTGCTCTGAATGACTGAGTTTATGTCTACCTGGAGAAGTACTGGACTGCATCATATCCTTGGTGGGTCTATTAATGGTAGCTGCCCAATCAAGTCTGTCATCCAAGTCATGAGCATGGGGGTGAGTATACATTTGTAATTTGTTTGTGGATTGTGGGTTTTGTAGTTGAGTTTGGGGTGAGTGGTAGGGATTGTGGGAGTGAAAATGGGGGTTACGTGGAATCATATTGCCCTCTCTTGTATCACCAAACCTATAACCAGGAAAGCCAATGGCATGCCCTGTAGATAAATCTACCCCATGTGGGTATGACTGACGTCTTGATGGTGAAGACAGAGGGTTGGTGGTAGAGGGATAGTGAGAGGCTTGCTGCGGATGTCGAGAGGGCATGGTGGTGGTCAAATCAATCTTACCTCTTCCAAAAGGCTCGGAATTCATAACCACAGATGGGTGTAGAGCCTTGTTATGATGCTCAATATCAGTTTCCTTGGTTGTAAGACCACTATGATGGACAGCCTCTGCAGTCTCCTTTGATGCTACCTTCATTCCAACTGCTCTTTTATCTCCCATCTCCTTGCTGTTCCCTAGATCATTTGTTGATGGCTGTTGGATCACAGAGGCACCAATTGACTTTTTTCCCGCTTTCTTTCACGTTCCCTATCCCTTTCTGGTGTACTGCGGCGATTTGGACAAACATCACATATAACAGAGCGCCGCTCTTTAGATGGAGGTAAAAGGGAGGCCGTCGACATTTGAGACTCAATTTGACCTATGGTTCCAACACTGCCCGCTAGCTGCTCTGTTTCCTGCAATAGGAGTTCTTGCACAGCTGATGATGAGCTGGGCAGACCTGAAGGGGGTTTCCTGTGAGGTAACGAGTAGTCGGCTAAATTGATGTGCTTTGGTGGAGGTCCAGACAAAAACTCTGTAGACTGTGGCATATGGGTGGGGTGACGCTGAGGTGTTGCCATTTTATTTTTCTCTGAAGAAGCACTGTGAGATCCCTTAGTACCTACTACTTCAGACCTCAAAGAGGAATGAGGTGATTCTGGTACTAAATCAGATCCAGGCCCCTGGCGCTGATTTAGTTGAAGAGGCTTTCCAGGGCTGGTCATTCGGGAGGGGTGGGAAGTGACCTCTCCAACTCCAGTTTGGGATCTCATACTTTCAGCCATGCCATAAGGATGCCTGGTTTGGTACTCTTGCCGAGTCATATTTTGAGCCTGGAGATGGGCATTTGCTGCCTGTTCAGATCGCCCATAGCGCCGGTCTAAGTGATAACCCTGTAGAACCTCCTGCAAGAGGCTTGGAATTGGCTGTTGGAGTTGAGAATTATCATCATGTCCTCTTGCTCCTGATCCTTCCCCTCTCCTCACTGATCCCTCAACCGTAGTACCCGCGACATCCTTGGTGTGTTCAGGGCCATAATTGGGCTTTGGCTGATGGAAGCCTTGATACCTTGAATTTGATCCCATTACACTCCCTGGACTAGGTCTCCCTCTGTTCTTCAAACCCATGGCAGCACCATGTGGTGACTCTTGGTAACCATATTTCTGAGGACCTGAGGGGGAATGATTTTGAGGGACAGACGTCCCAAAGTTAGATTTCTGGGGAACTTCATGATGAGAGGAATATACACTCAAATCCATTCCTTCCTCCCCATTACTAAAGAAGCTGTCTGAATGTTTCTCCTCTAAGCAGTTGGCTTGTGTATGTGTAGCTTTTTCTGGATTATTTACCTCACAACGAGTTGACACAATAACACCCACTCCACCAGCATTTTGCTGTTCCTCAATATTTAGATCTTGATTGGAGTTGTCCAAATCTCGTGTCTTACATCGTTTTCCGTCCTTCTCATCACCCTTTTTGTTGCGCAAGGAAGATCGATCCAATGTATTTTCTTTGTCCTGCCCATCTTGTCGTATGTGTCCCTCTCGGGTCTGCTCTCTACCTCCCTCTCCATGGGTGCCTTTTTCAATTTTTTCAATCACCCCTTCACTTTTATCTTTAATTCCTTCATATTTCATTTCCCTTGTTTTCCTAAGGCCATTTTTAGTATTAACATCAGTGGCACCAGGCTCAGAAACACAGTTTGAGTGGAACTGAGGAGCAGGAGAGGGAATGGGGCATGAGGGAGTAGAGGAAACAGGAGGGCGAGAATGTACACTTGGACCAGGCTCAGCAGATTGAGGAGCAGAGGAGGGAGATGACGATGAAGGTTTCCAGGTTTCAGTTGTCTTTCTTTCAGAAACATCTGATCGATTCAGAGATTGTTTTGTAGAAGATTTCGTGAACATCCTCTTCCCTTGTGAACCCTGATCACTCTTTCCAGTATGGGATTGGTTTTGACTTGAACCCATGGACATTTGACTCGGAGATGGAGGAGGATAGTAACCAGTTGGTTCCGATCCACTGCTTGCTCCACTCATCTGCCGCATTCTAGATTGTTCCCCCTCAGAAAACTGCTCATCTCGTTCCTCTTTGGCCCTTGATGATACTCTTTCAGACACCAGAAAGGAATCTTCATCACCTCCAGCCTCAGAGCTAGCACCTTCACCACCACCTATCCCACTGCTTGAGGCAGCACTGACACTTCGACTCCTTGGTTGAGTAGAGGGCATGGTTTGTAATGCCTGCTGCATTTGACTTTGTCCATCTTTCCCCCTTCTATGTGACATTAATGTGTCAGTGAGAAGCATATGTTGCACTGTGTTGGGTAAATTTGCTACCTGTGATGTCAACGCATTTAGACTGTTCAGGCCAGGGTCTTGCATGAGTTTGTCAAGAGGAGAAGATGAATAGACAGATGAGGATGACCCTTCTTCACGTGATCCTTTTCCTGTTCCTGCACCCATTCTGCTTCGGTTTGAGACTGAGTGACCACCTCCAGCACTTGTATTCAGACCAGCAGCTTTGTTACTGCCACTGCTGCCACAACTACTGATGCTGCTGTTAGAGTTGGGTGTGGGACTCAACTGAGGCATAGTCTGCAGTAACCGACTATGGCTGCTACGAGGGTTTGGGGGAGGAGGATGTGATGGAACATGTGATAGGGGACATGAAGGGTTTCCATGACCTTCTGAGACACCCATCAACGGGGAAGGTGAGGAGCTACAACTGGGAGAATGCACTGCAGAGGCAGCTGGAGAGGGGTTAGATATAGGGCTGAAGTTTTGGTTAATCTGGCCCTGTTGGGGTTGAGAGTGCATTGGCGATTTGGCGACTTCTTGACACGCTTGATGAGGCATTCCGGTATTGGCGGATTGGTGATGTTTAGAGTATACAGAACCTGGTGGAGGGGCATGATGCTGCATTTTGAGAGAGTTGTCGTAACCTATTCCTAAATTGTGCTGAGAATTGCGGTGCTGGAGGGTGGCTTGTTTGTGGAGTGAATGAGGTTGTGGGGAGTATGAGGGATAACTTGAAGAGTGGTAACTCTGTGCAACATTCTCCAGTGATCCAACACTGTTTGTTGTAGCTGAACTTGAAATTGAGTTTGAATTAGAGGTCATATTAGGAGAGCTGTTGACTTTAGGTTCAAATCCACCACCACTGCTGGCCCCATCATGATATCTCTGTGGTGGGGAGCTGTACATTCCTGATGACCCTGTGGATGCACTACCCTGTGGGGAGTAGTGTGAGAACTGTGGAGGCATTCTGTGTCCAGAGATGGGATAAGTCCTATGCTGCTGTCCATGTTGCAGAGCTTGATGGGCGGGGTAATTCTGTCCATGTTGGCGGTGCTGCATCTGAGGCCCTGATGCTGGCTGCATTGCAGGGTTCAGACCCATTTTGTACTGATGGGAGGGGGAAAATGCTCCAGCACCACTGCTGCCACTGCTACTACCACCACCTGAGCCAGCTGTAGAACCATAGTCCAAAGGATAGGGAGACATCATCCCGGAGGACGATCCGGAGCTAGTTCCAGTTTGTCTGTACTGCTGAGGTATATGGCCATCCATATTTGAGTACCCAAAACCTGCCCCATATGCCATACCTCCTCTTCTATGTCTGTCCTTTCCACCCATTGCAAAATAATAATCCATTGTTTCCTTTCGGTAAGGGTTGCTACTACTGCCACTGTGAATATTACTGTGTGATGATTCTCCAGCTCTGTTTCTTGCATCATAAGCAAGCATATGGCCAGCCTGACTAGGGTGGTGGTGCCCTCGATGGAGTAGGTGTCGACTGTGACTTTGAGGGTTTAGGGGTGTTTGCTGTTGCATCCCAGTGTAGTCATCTGTCATCCTTGGGGATATCTGGGGGTCTGTTGACAGTGGTGGGTAAGCGGAGCCACCTCCACCCCTACTAGTAAATCCAGGAGGAAGAGCTGGAGGTGCTGGACTGTTGTGGAAATTCTGCATGTTTTGATGGATTTTTATGAATTCTTTGAGGGAATGTTTTTTGTTCCGTAAAGGCAGTTACTGTGTCAGTTGACTTCGTAGGCTTGCAGTTAAATGATGGAGGAGAGTCCAACAAAGTCCAGCAGAGTTGAAGCAAGTGACTTTATCACAAATGTTTTATCACACTTGTAGCAGCAATTGAAGATGAAGCAAATACTGAGGCTTGAGCAGAAAATGAGCAGTAATTTTCTATTAGATGCAACTCTAAAGAACTTCTGAAATCTGCTGATGATGTAGAGTAACTCCTTTATAGTTGTAATAGTTGGAGAACTGAGTCCAAATTATAACAAAATATCAGTTTTGTTGTAGTAAATGTATTAGTGATTTCAATGTTAAAAGGATATGATACAGATGTTGCAGTTTGGCACTAAATGTGAAAATGTCAAGTGCAGGAGAGACAACAGCACCTGAAATAATAGGCCTTAAAGTCCTTTCCACTGTAATAAGAGCACAGGCAAAAACAGTTCAGCTAAAATTGCAGTGGGATTCAATGGTGTCCCATGTGCAAAAACTTGTCAAGAGTAACTGAGTCACTGCCTTTTAGACTGCTGGACTGTTATTGCAGAAATTCTTCAGCTCTGGCAGGAGTAGCCTATGTGAAACAATCATGCTTCCCTCACGTTGTATTTGGCTAGCACCTGTGTAGAAACATCCTCAGAAATGCTAGCCAATACTTTTATCCAATAAATGTCCCAAAAGGAAAAAAGATCCACTGACATTCGTGTGTTCTTGTTGAGATTAATACTTTCTTAAATTGTCTCATTTTTTGTAATTCCCTTAGATTTTTTGACATATGTAGTTGGATTGTAGAAGTCTTTGGTCCCCAGTTTCCCCCAACTGTAGTTCTTCTTCACCTTATATTTGTTCAGTGTTTATCTTGCTGCTCTTCTATATCTCCCACATTTTTCTGTCTTACCTTATTTTCTTTTTCTTTCAATCATTATTCAAATTGACCATCTCCCATACCGATGTCCATTTAATCAGCATGTTCTTGTTTTTCTTTTGCAGTTTCTCTCCAGTATTTCCATCCATGTGAGTCCATCTCTCTTCAGTTGTTTACAGGAGCCCTGTGGAAATCTGAAAGAACAGAAGAAGAAACAAAAATAACTGTCTGTGTGCCACAATGACCACATAGCCTATACGCTTTTACATCCATAAATGCTGTGT